GTTTTTTTTTCAAGTATTTTAGATAGTTTAGTATTATTTATATCTTGATCAAGAATAATTTCAAAAGTATCTTTTTGTTCTTCTTTTTTAATAGTATTTAATTCTTTATTATTTTTAACAGCTTCTTTTTGGAATTAACTTATGAATTAGATTTTATAAGATATAGCTCTTGAATTTCTAGTTTTTTTATTAGTAGTCAAGTATTTATATATATCAAGTAGTAAATTTATATTATTTGATTTAATAGTTAATATTTGAATACTATTTATAAGTGCTTATATTTGTACTAATAATATAGTTTGATTATTATTTATATTTTAATTATTATTAGCATTTGCCTGATTTAGTAATATATTATTTTATTACTAATTATTTTTATTTGATCTTTAATAATTATTTTTAAAGTTATTCTGATTATTCTATAAGATTATAGCTAGAAATAATTAGAACAGATGTGATCTGACTTACTATAATTATAATAGGTAGAAATTGATTTAGAATTTAGATTTATAAACTATTAACTAGAATTATTTCTATTATAGTTTGATCTTTTATTGATTTCAATATTTTTTATTTGCTAATTGAGATCTTGAAGTACTATTAGAATAGTATTTAATATTAAATTATTCTGGATTTGAAATTAATAATATTTACAAGTTAAAATATTAATATTAGCTTTTTTTATCTTCTTAATAATTTATATTATATTTAAAAAAGTTCTATTAGCAAAAATCTATATCTATTTTCTAATTTCTGATTTGAGTTCTCTTTTGCAAGTTCAGATTTTATATTCTTTTAGATATTTATTATCAGAATCTATTTTACAAAGTAAATTAATGAATTTATCTATATATTTATTCATAGTATTAATCTGTTATAGAGTCTTAATTCATCTTGTTATTAATTTATTCTTTCTCTAGTCTGAAAATAAGTAGTAAATCAATAACAAAAATTATATAACTAATCATTATTATTATTTTAGACTATTAGACAAGTATTATTATCTTTTATTATATCATAAAATAGTAGTATTTTCTAGATATTTTCTAATAAGCTATATTTTTCTAGTAGTTATAATTTTATTAACTTGAGTAATAATATTAAAGTCTTTGAATTATTCAGTTAGATCTTGATTATTTTTTCTATATTTTCTAATAGGAATAATAATCTTCTTTATAGATTATTATTTTATTTAGCTATATAATTAATAAGAGCTTCAAGAGTTGTGATCAGATTCTTTAAGTTATTATTATTATTATTTTAATCTATTTGATAATTATCTTTTTTAGTTTCTGAATTATTTTCTTTTAAACTTAAATAAATATTTTCTTCTTTTAATTCTGAAATTAATATAATTTAAATAGGAGAAGTTAATGAATTTTCTGAATTTTTAGTTTTAGAATAATATCTATTTATATTATTAATATTAAAAGAGATTCTTGATTAAAATTATAAAGTAAAGTCTTGATAAATGAACTATTAATAAAATTATTTAATTAAGTTTAGTTATTCTTTTTGAATAATTATATGATTAAATATGAAAGTATTTACTAATTATACTATTCTCTATCAGAGTCAGATAGTATGTATCTCACTAAGATCAAGTTGAATTAATTATAAAATAATAAATATATAATCTGATTTATGAATACTGCTCTAATATTTTTAGTAAGTAAGTAAAAAGTTCAAAATTATAAAGAAAAAATAGTTTAAAGAGAATAATAATAGGATAAAAGTATTCAGAAGATATTCAAATAGTAAAATTAGAATCTTGATATACTTGTAAATAATAATTGATAGGTAATCTAATAAAAAAATAATAAGTGATCATGAAAACTCAAGATATAATTATTTATTAATTACTTAAATAATAGAAATAAGAGATATAAAAAAAGTATAAAAAGAGTTTGAATATAATAAAGAGTATATAAGAAATCTGTATCTAAAAAAAGAGTATTAAAAATATATTATAATAAATTTGATAAGTAAATTTTTACTTGAATTCATCTTAATAATATTAGATTAAGAGAGATTGAATTAAATAATAAATAAAGAGAAAGGAATTAGACTAGAACTTTAATATTGACAAAGATTTCTAAAATCTATATTAATATTTATAAATATTGTCTATTAAAGAAATAAAATAAATAATAAAAAAATATAAATTAAAAAAATTATAAAGATTAATTAGTAAAGTCATTATTAATTAATATAATTTAAAATTTAAAGTAATTAAATAATAAAGTTACTATTAATCAAAGAAGATTATAACTAAAGAAAATAAAACTAAAATAAATAAAAAACTAAATAATTAAAAAGATATGACTTATTTATAATAGAGATTTTTCATTCTTAAAAATAATAAATTAAATAAAACAAAAAGAATATGAGTTATTTATAATAAAGATCTTTTACTCTTAAAATAATATCAAAAAATCAAAAATCAATATAACATTATATTCAAATCAAAATCAACTTTATATAATTAAAAAAATAAAACTAAGTAAGATAAAAGATACTAATATAATTAAAAAGGAATCTTTTTTAAAAAAAATTATTATTATTATAATAATAAGCTTTTTAATTATATTTTTCAAATAATTTAATCCAAAACTATTTATTTTAAGCTAGAATAGCAGGTTCTTTTATATATTTTTCAGATACAAAAATTATATAATATTACTAGTTAATACTATCTAAATATATAATTAATATTATAAAGAATTATAATTTATTTAATATACTAAAATATTAATATTCAAAATATCAATATCTAGAATATTAATATTAGAAATATTAATATTTTATTATTTTATCAAAAATTAAAAAGAATCTTTAAATATATTATTCTATTAAATATATGAGTTATATATAATATGTAAATTAAAAATATAGATCTCAAATAAAAAGAATAAGATATAATATTTAAAAATAGAAATATAATTATAATAGATAATTATAATAAAGAAAATAGATATGTGATTATATAAAAATAAAAATAATTATATGATAAATTATAAAATTATAATAAAATAAAATTTTATATAATCAAAAAAAGATTATGAAATTAGAGAATTTTATGTTATTATAATAATATTATTATATATTAAATAATTATTAAACTTAAAAACTTTATTTTTTTATAACTATTAATTTAAATTTTAAATATATTTTTATTAAATATAAAATAATCTGTTTATATATTTTAAAATTTTAATATAATAATAATACTTAAAATATATTTTTTTAAAAAATATTATTTAATTTATTATTAAATTGAAATATAATAGAATAATAAAAATAATATAAAAAATTAATCTTTATTTAATATAAATAATTAATTTAAATTATTTTTTATTTAATATAAAAATTATAAAGATTAGTTAAAATTTGAATTTATTAAAGTATTTATTTTATAATATAAATTTTTTATACTAATTTATATTATAATTTATTAAATTAACTAAAATAAGTTATATTTTTAACAAAATATAAATTTTAAATTATATTATAGATCAGTAAAAAAGATTTGTATTTCAATATAAAAATCAATAATTACTTCTAATAAAAATTATTCAAATCTTTATGATTTTTTTATATTAAATAAAAAATAATCTAAATTAACTTTTTATATTATTTTAACTATTTTATTATACTTTAATTCAATAATAAATGAAGCATTACTTTACTAAAAAAAATTAAAATAATTTTTTTTAAAAAAAAGATATTTTAAATATTATTACTATCAATTTATAATATTAAAACTTTAAATTATATAAGTAGATTATCCTAAATTTGATAAATATATATTCTAAATTTCATAAAAATTGAATTAGTAGTTATAAAGATATTAAGATTTAAAAGTTGAGTAATTAAATTATTTACTATTTAATTTATATTAATTTCAATCAATTTTAATCAAATTTATATAATAAAATTTAAGAAATAATAATTGAAAAAAGTTATTATTAGTAAAAATTTTTTTTATAAAGATATATGATAAAAATTTTTATATTTAAATAAATTCCAATATCTATTAATTTAATTAAATAAGACAGAATTAAAATATTATTTTGAAAAAATAATCTATTAATATTTATTTGAGATACAAATCTTTTTGTATCAATTCATAATTGTTAAATCATATTTTTTTTAATTTAAGATATTTTGAATAATTATAAAAAATATATTAAAAATATTTTAATATATAAATTTATATATTAGATAATTTAAAAAATAATAGATATGTTAGAATTATAGATTTTCAAAAATTCATTATATTAAAAAATTTAATATTTTATTTTTGAACTAACTTTATTATATAAATTTTATTTTATTATATTAAGAGTTTATTATAATAAGAATAACTTGTATTATACTAATTATTAACATTCAATTATTACTTTCTCTACATGTTTTGCAAATATGAAATTGATAATTTTAGAATAATATCAAATATATAGTTTTATACTATGTATTATATAAGATATTATAGTTATCTAGATCAATAAGAGCATTATAAAGACATTAAAATGCAAATAGAATTTAAATACATTAGCAAATCTCTTTGTATTATTAATAAACCTGTTAAAAAATTTGCAAAAAAAATAATATACAAATAAAAACTGACTTTGTCTTTAAGCATAACATTCTCAGTTGCTCATTTTCCTCATCTACATGAGTAAATTTATTGTCTAATTAAGATATCTCTGAATTGAAAACTATTATTTTGCAGTGATTATTAATGTGACTAAAAATTAGGTGGAACGTTACAGCAATCAAAATTAACAGAAATATATTATATTTTTATTATTAATAAATGCATATCAATTGTGGATTTTGCATGCCCTTTTTCTGTTATTTCATTAGTAGGTTCTGGCATTGAGTCTATAAAATGAAGAATTTCTCAAATGTAATAGTATTCCATGCGGACAATACGGCTTCCTCCAAATCGGCTTCTGTCTGTGGCTTTCTGTTTTTATGAATCCAACATTTAACTTCTCTCCACGCATTTTCAATTGGATTTAATTTCTGTTTTTATGAATCCAACATTTAACTTCTCTCCAATTGATTCAAGTCTGGCGATTGTGGTGGCCAATTCATTGTCACAATTCCAAGATCATCTTTAAGCTCTTTTACAGGTTTACTCTTGTAAATTGGTGCATTATCCTCTTGAAATATTGCTTCTTTTGCAATCATAACTATCGGATAAATTGTATCTAAAATAATGTCTCCATACTTTTCACCATTCATTCGTGATGGGGTGCGAACTAAAAGATTTAAGTTGAGCCCACTCGCACATCCCCAGACCATAATAGATTTTCGTCCACTTTTAACGGTTGCTTGTGTGCAATTTGGATCATAAAGCTCATTCTTACGGCAGCAAACACGAGCTTTCCCATATGAATTGGTGCTGATAGAGGCTTCGTTAGTCCAAAGAACGCGTTACCAATCTTCTTTAGTCCAATTTTTGTGAAGTTTAGCCCAGTTTAATTGTTTGATTCGATTTTCTTCATTAATCCATGGTTTTTTACGTGCAAAATGGGATTTGGTATTACGTTTCTTGAAACTTCTTGTCAGAGTACGTGGAGATATGCCAAAAAATGAGATTTTATCAGCAAGCAGACGTTTTGGCATTCTTCTCATTGTTGAGCTTGCTCTAATTTTTCGAAGAATTTAACGTTCAAAACGATCATCAATAATTAATTTTCGACCACTATTCTTTCTTTTCAGATAACCACAATTTTGGGTAATTTTCTTTAGTTTAATACAGTTTTTGACGCTTGAGTCTGATCATTCAAGGATGCTTGCAATTTTTGCTTGTTTTTCGAGTATTTCGACAGTGTTGCATTCTCCTTTAGTAAGATCTTTATTGCGACCTATTTGTATATACACTTTAAAATTTTCGAATTTTACTGTACATGCAAGTTCAATTTTAATGTCGTTTTTTTACTGCGACATACTCTTTACGATCGACCTAATTTTTTGTCACCCCTCTGTACTTCTAAAGCATATAACTTAAATACGGAATAATTACAAAGTTTCTATAAGCCCAGTATTAATAAATAATAGTATATTTGCCTTTTAAGTAAAGTAACATAGTTTTGAGATTATTCAAGATTATTTTATACAGTGAATAACGTGTGTTTAAAGCTAAAGACAGTTTTTACCATGATTTTTTATTAGTGAAACGTTGTGTTCTCGAAAGTACTTTGTAAATAAGTTATCCGAGATCTAGCCAATCATATGAATGTCCTTCCAAGAACGCCAACCGTAACGATTCCGTTGAGTTGGTAAACTCCAAAAAATCGACGGTAAAATGGGCATTCTAATAAAAGCGATTTGTAGAAAAAGCGTAATTCATTGTCGAAATTCAAAAACCTCGCCATTTTTTTATCTGTGGTTTTATTTCTTTAGTCAGTCACTGTATATTGATATTGACACATTTTATGATTGCAGTAAATGTACTAATTGTCATAAATAAAGCAAAAATGATTTCATTAGTCTATAAAAAATAAAATTTTTAATTTTGACTTATACCAATTTAAAGAATTAGTGCGTGTATAAATTTATACATTTTTAATCCGTTTTTGTAATATAAGAAATTCATCGTCTCGTACTATATATTCATATTCCGAATTGCTTAAATGATTTTCTTTCTCATTTAGCTGTAATAGGAGGGACCGTATTTACTTCATTAGCACTCTCCTATTCGAGAAATGACAGAAGTTGTAGATAATTGTGCAAAACTTTTATTCATTCCTCGCTCGCTGATGTAGACGGAAACCATGTAGAACTTAAGTCTAGTTGAATATCGCTTGGACTATTGCTTGCATGATTTGTCCATCCAGCACCAACTGAGCCAGCAATTAAACTGGGTACTATAGTTACTGCGGCAAATAGAGTATGTGAATCATCTTTATCTCTTAATGATGATGCTCGAAGACGACCACCACGTATTGCTTTAAAGAACGTTAATTCCTTTTGTACGTCAGTCCATGAAGGTTTGGGCTCCCCAGTCTGGGTAGTTCCCCCAGCAGATGAGTTGGTATAAATTGTGCCTGGTTTTTGAAGTGTGCTTATGTGTTGTTGCTTAGAGCCAAATATCAAAAATACTTCATTTGGTATTAGCCGGATGATTACGCCAAAGGGTATTGATAGAAAACCAAGACCAAGAGATATTGCCCATTGAACGCCATTTAGTGAATTTACTTGGAAAGCAGCGCCACCGAATTGAATTATTAAAACTTGTCCAATACATATGATTACGAAAATCGTCATGAAAAATTTGTTGGCGAAGACATTTTTAAATATATTCAATTTATTATCAAGTCGGCGACAACTAGAAAATAGAAATAATTCATTAAAAATTTAACGTTGTAATATTATATAAAAAAATTGATATTGAACTTACTTGACTTCATTGAATATTTGCAAGAATACAAATACATTAAAGATCAAGCTTTTTAATTGATCGTGTCCATAATGCAAAATGTCACTTCCAGCATACAATAATATTAAGGTGATCACTAATTGGAAAATGCTTTGACCAATGATCATTTTCCACATGTCAAACGATATCAACGGTGCATTACGAGCTTCTGGTTCACGATCTAATAGTTCTTCCGTTGGTGGATCAGTGGCCAGTGCTAAAGCAGCTAAAGTGTCCATAATAAGATTTACCCATAAAAGCTGCACCGCCGATAATACTGAAGTTTCATTTCCGCTCGAAACAGCCGAGATGAAAGTCAAGAGAACTGCGGTGACGTTCACCGTCAATTGAAATTGTAAAAACTTCTTCACCGAATCATTTACACTTCTGCCCCACATAATAGCCTTTAAAATACTCGAGAAATTATCATCCATCAGAATAATTGAGGAAGCTTCTTTAGCGACTTCTGTGCCGGCAATGCCCATCGAGAATCCAACATCTGCAGTTTTTAATGCAGGGCCATCATTAGTACCATCGCCAGTTACTGCTACAATACGACCAAGGTCTTTTAGCTTTGCGACAAGAATTCTTTTGTCCTCGGGACTTGATCTAGCAAGCACTGTAAGCCTTTGGATTATTCTTTCCATTTCTTGTGGTGGTAAAATACGAAACTGTGGTCCTTCCATCACTATATCTCCTTGTTTATATATGCCACATTGCGTTGCAATCGATTTAGCTGTTAGAACATTATCACCGGTGACCATTACCACAGACACGCCAGCTTTTTGACATCTCCGCACGGCCTCATGAACTCCATCTCTGAGTGGATCTTCAATGCCAACGATTGCTAAAAGTATAATCTTAGCTACTAATTCTTCGAAAGGCACCTCTCCTTCTTTATTAGTCTTTGTTCCTTTTGGGGGCCATTCTTCAAAATCCCGATAACCTAATGCTATTGTTCTTAGTGTTTGACTTGCATATTTCATAATTATATGCTGGATAGTATTTAAATTCTCGGGTGATAATTTCATAGCTCGTAATTCTGTGTCATTTGTGGAATCTGTAACTACTATTGATTCCGCCTGTCTAACTAATACTTCACTAGCACCTTTCACGTAAAATCTATATTTTGAATCTGATAATTTAAGAACCACACCCATCGATTTTCGATCCGAACTAAATGGAAAGACTTGAACTATTTTAGCGTTGCGTCTTAATTCTTCATAGTCAGTCAGATCTAAATCATTGAGAAAGCTTAATAAAGCTGTATCGGTTTTTGATCCAATGAACGTTTTTCCACCACCCTCATCCACACCTTCAAAAGCGGTTGAATTAATTGCAATCGATCGGTTCAATATATCAATTAAGGCAGGTGAAAGTGTTCCTGTTAGATCAGCCATTGAAATAGGTTTATCGACAGCGACTGAATTTTCGGTGGAACTTTTCTGTGTGTTTACTAGATGTGCTTCGTGATCTCTGACAAACGCGGTTGAAATTCCAATAGTCCCGGCGACAACCGTCATCTTATTTTGTGTAAGTGTTCCTGTTTTGTCGGAGCAAATGATGTTTGCATTTCCCATCGTTTCGCATGCAGATAGAACACGCACAAGATTATTATCCTTTAACATACGTGTTGTAGCATATGCCAGAGCTAATTTTATATGAAAATCAATTAATAAAAAAGAATATAACGATATATGTGGGGCTAGATAATGCAAAGAAATGCATACCTAGAGTCACTGCCAAAGGTAATCCTTCGGGTACTGCCACGACTACTATAGTCACTGTTGAAATAATTATTCCAACTAAATCCTCGATAGCTTGAGTTGCTTTTGGTATGCCATTTCGAAAATTCACAAAGTATTTGATCAGTAACACTATAAGCATCAGTAAAGCAGCAGCTCCTCCCAACTTTGCAATTCTTTCTGCCAGACCATTCAATTTTTCCTGAAGTGGCGTATTGCCCGAGTCAGTTCTTAGAGCTTGAAAATAAAAAATCAATTAGCATAAAGCATATAAATGAATTCGTCAGAAAAATAAAAAAATTACCCATTAGGGTTCGTCCGTAAAATGAATTTTGACCGACAGCAATTACGACATATTTGCCAACGCCTTCTAGTACCTTACTACCACTTATTAGGAAAGGGTCGGCTTTTGAGTGATGCGTCGCATCACTTGTAGATTCTTGAACAGAAAAGTTCCTTAAACATTCTTCATATCTTAATTTTTTTACTGCATCACTTTCACCTGTCGCAGCTGATTCATCGCAACGTAAATTATGGCCAGATATAAGGACACCATCTACCGCGATAATTTCACCTGGCTCTATATGTAAAATATCACCAACTAAAACGTCATGTACTGAGATAAGAACTTCCTTTCCATTACGTGTCACCTTGACATTACGATCTTCTTTTTTTGCATTTAAGCGTTGAAATTGTTTTTCTTTTTGCCAGTCATTTATACTGCCAACCATTACAACAATCGCGATAGCAATTACGATAGCAACACCTTCCACCCATTTTATTTTCGGTTCATTCGTGTCTTTTGTGTTAGGACCAAAATCTTCATACAAACCTAATCCTAATGACACGAATGCGGCAACAGTTAAGATGATCTAATTCAATAAGGAATCAAAGATTTGATGAGTATGATAATTGATGTCTAGCTTGTGAAAAATAAATTATTTATTTACTTACCAATACTTTATCTTGCATTGCAATCCACATTAATTCGAATATAGTTTTGGTCTTTTTCGTTGGTAATACATTAACACCGAAAACACGTTTTCGCTGTGAAAAAGGAGCTCCATCTTTCGTTAATTCAGCATTCGCCAATGCGGCCTTTTTTTCTTTTTTTGATTGTCTTTCCTTTTTAGGTTCTGTATCAGCTTTTCCAGCTAGATCTTTAATATTATCTTTTTGCTTAAATTCGTCACCATCAACATCATCTTTACTCGAAATATCATCAATCGTTATAGGTGGTAAGGGGGCTTTTTCATCAGTACTTAGACCTAAATCAGAATCAGTGTGCAGGCCTTTTAGTATGCCTTCAACCCCACCAATTTTTCTAAGTAAATTTATATTTTTCGGATCAATTAATCGAGAGAGGAGTGACGGATTGAATGCAAATGGATTCTCAACATAAATTTCGGTTCTCTCTTCTCGTCCTTCCCCCGATATTGTATTATTCTTGTCATCTACTTGCATTTGCGCTATTTCTTCTGTATATTTAGTTGAAGTGGTCGAAAGAGGACTAGGTTGCGATGAATTTGCAAGATTTACGGATAAAAGAATAGGCGAAATTCCAGTGTGATCTATTATCGTATTGGTAACTATTTTTGGAACGATCTGTTTCTTACTGTTATCGGAGGTGGTGGTTGTATCTTGAGTCGGAGAAGTGGTGGTTTGTGTCGATGTCGATGTTGTTGGTAGATTAGTGATAATGTTTTTGCTTTCACTTTTCATTTATTTATTATAATGTGCCAAAGAATATTTTAAATTTGAAGTTTTATGAATGTAATAGAAAAAATTTCCGAGATGCATTTGTATGAAGACCCAGGTTTAGGCGAAAAAATAAACTTGTTCAAAATATTGATTAGATCAGTATAATATATATTCGATGTATCATGATTGCATAATTATGATGAGGATTTATTTATCGATCGGAGAATTCCTAAGCTAACCCAATTTCTGTTAAAGAAGATGCTTGTATTAGGAACCCTGTGCATAAACGAGATAAACGAGGAACATAGCGAAAGCGAAAAAAGCGAGCGAAAATTACAGCAGCAAGAATATTCATATTTATATGCCTTTATTAATTATCAAAGATAATATTGCAAGTCATAAAAATTTCTCAGAGAACATTCGTTATGCCAAAAAACCATGCTAATTGAATAGCGTGATTAATGTAAGGGGCGTGTGCATTCACAAAGACAAAATGTCCTTTGTTGTAATCAATTCATTAATGTATGAGTATTATTATTCAGAGACGTGGTTTGTAAGTTAAATGACGCGGATGAACCCGAAGCCTAGAATTTCTTTACAAAAAATCTATAGAGAACAAATACTCTCAAAAGTTTTATAACTCTCATGATGTGATATCATTTTTTCAGGATACATAATTTTTTTTGGCGAAAAATGAGCTAGTAACAATAATGTATCATCATATCATTAATTTTAATTCTTCTATTAAGATTTTCGTTTTTGGAAGATTCTTTTGTCGAATTCTATCGGGAAACAAACACGCTTTATCAGTGTGATCTAATCCGATCAAAACGGAGGGAGTAAACCAGCAACACACAACCTCTCTAAAACGATATTTTGATAAAATTTTTTATATTAAAAAATCAAAAATGGTCAAGATAGTTCATATAAATTCACCTCGCTATTAATGACTTCCTATATTCGACATTTCGATCTTATTTGTGGAGAAATTTTTAGCACGTTGTATTCACATGACGTTACGCTATACATTATTAAAAAATTTGGTGGTTTTTTAATAATTATAAATATAACAAGCTATTATTTATGCTCAAGTTAAACCGAATAAATTGATGTGTTGCATAGGGTTGATTTATTCATTAAGATTGTTTCAGCTGTAAATATTCTCATGTTATTCGTTGAAATAATTTAAATTGTGGGCATGTGCGGGACGCGCGTCATCAATTTCTAAAAGATGGTTCGTAATGTTGATCTGTTTTTTCGAGAAATACGAGAACATAAATAATAAATTTTCTTTATCATATAATTATCATTTTTTATAAGAGATATTAGTAAATTTAGAAATCAGCAATTTTTTAGTCCTGTACTGTAACAATAATTTGATCATGACTTCATCACAGTTCCGTTTCCATTCTAATCTAAAATAGTCTTTCTTTATTACGTGTTGGCGTCAGTGTGTATCATGTTTGTACATGTACTCGAGTGTATCTATGCAACTGTACAATACAGTTAATCTGGTATAAATCGGTTATAAAGTTAATCTGGTATAAATCGGTTATAAATAAAAGGTAGAATGAGATAAAATAGGTAGGACTAGAGATAAATTGTCTTCCTGACATTGTAAATTAGTGCTCCGAGATATTTTTAAGAACTACATATGTATATTGTTCTGGGGGTGTACATAGATACACTCGTACATCCTTGTTTTATCTTTTTGTCATAACTAGGCGAATTGAATGGTGGTATTTTCGTGATTTTGATCACCGTGTATCGAGATATCGCATATTTTTTTATGTTCGCCAAAAATCCAATTGACGTTTTGAGTGTAGCACATAAAATGATCGTTTTTCTTTGTATTATCTGAAAATTTCCTAATCACAAACTTAACTTTGCCAACATACCCACCTCTCCCTTATGATGGTTTAGCCATACAACTTTAATCCTAACCGAAATGCTAAAGAGAATAAAGAGAGGATTTTGGTGTCGACAGTTGCGAATCACATTATCAGACACATTTATTCGGCTGTCTAGGTACTAGTGGAATCTCCCAATGGCATTAAAACTTGATAATCGATTCTTACTGTAACAATGCATTCGTGTTTCATGGAACTGATTTCTAACAAGTGTGATTTCAAAATAATGCCACAAGGGTTGGACTTAATTTCCATCAACAAAACAATCAAGGAAATCTGGGTTCCCCGCTATTTATACAAAGACAAGCTTGATGAAGAATAATAATTAACAAGTAAAGGTGAATTTACAAATTTATGTATTTCGTTAGAGAATCCCAAAACTTTGGTGTTCTAAATCAAGCATAAGCTATCTTGCAAACAATAACACAAGAGAAAATACAAAAGAAAATACATGAGAATTACTGTAATTTAACATTAAACAATAATAATATATAACGATAGTAAAATTATTACGGATATGATTGATTAAAAATCGTACTATACTAAAAGTGAAAAAATTATGGTACATGTATTAAGAATTATAATGTTAACACGGCTACGACAATTATGTAAATCAAAATCATGTGAAGTATAATAATAACGATAATATTATTACTGTTTAATTTGTGTATCCAAGGTTATAACCACTTTCTTCTAGCAAATTTTTGCAGTGAACAATTAGTATGCTATAACAAAAGGAAATTACAATCCAATAATTTAATTAGTTAGATGTTTTCTAATTGTTGAACTAGAACTTCGCTTTGTTAGCGATACATATGGCTAAGCTAAATAATAATATTTTTGTTTTAAATTGGCTTTTGTTAACGAAAATATAACTGTAGCTTCAAAAAAACCTTTTGTATCAAATATTATTGCGCTAATTTTAATGCTGAATCTTTTTAAACTTGAATATGCTAATTAAACCTTCTAAACAACTAAAAGATGCACGTGAATCACTTGCCAAATAAAACGTCGAGTTATTTCTAATAAAAATAATTAGTCATTAAAAAAGCATCCGAACACGAACTTCAAAATATACACGACACCGTCTGTATAATTCAATATTTAAATGCATGTATAAGCCTAATGGTAAATACACATGTATCGATAACATAAAGAAATCACAAGGTTTGTACTATCGCTATGAATTTTACCTAACTAATATATGCATGTACATGTAGCGACTGAGCCACGTTGAATGAAATTTAGTGTAAAAAATTTCCGCGGGCCGAATTATCCGACTTGAAAAGATTAATTTGGAACGTATTTAAAGAATCATCCACCATTTACCTTATCACATACTCGCCCAAGAATACAACGGAAAACGAAAATGTCTGTAAATCCATCAAATAAAATCCTGGTGCAAGACATACCGTCCGATGCTATTCTCGAATTCAAGAGATCACTGTCAAAGGAAGCTCGGGTTTTATCAGCGACTACGACTGATGAAGTAGAAGCAAGAGAGTATAAAGAAGCGTCGGTTTGGTGGGCTGATAATTCAGCTAAACCGGCTGGTGTTATTGTCCAGGTATTTTTGTACCTAATATTAATCTGATAAGGAAAAATGTTTCAAAGTTGCTCCTATTTTATTTAACATTAGGTAGCTGAATTAGACGACATTGCCAAAACAGTAAGTAGACTCAATGAATTCAAATTAAGTCTCTATTTAACGATCTAAATTTTTGATTCAAATTCTGAATTCAGATAAACTTTGTACGTATCCACAATCTCGATTTTGCGGTTCGCGCCGGCAGACATTCAACTTCTGGTGCATCTTCCACAAACGGCGGTCTTCTTCTCGACTTGAAAAAACTAAATAAAGTACGTGTAGACCCGGAAAACAAGCTTGTATACGCACAAGGTGGAGCATTAGGAAAAGATATTGATAATGAGGCATCACAACATGGATTGGCATGTGTCTGCGGAGTAGTTGATGATACTGGGATTGGAGGTTTGACCCTTGGCGGTGGTTTTGGATATTTGACTGGTAAGTGAATAAATGAATACAAAGTTTATTAAGTTTAAATATCAACGATAAGCTTTGTTGCTACATATATTATTAAGGTCGTTATGGTCTTATGATTGACAATCTCGTAAGCGCAACGATAGTAATTGCAGACGGCTCAGTAAAGCATGTCTCTTCGACTTCGAATCCCGATTTGTATTGGGGAATACGTGGTGGCTGCAGTAATCTCGGCGTGGTGTATGAATTTGTTTATAAAGCACATGACCAAAAAAATAAAGTTTACGCAGGATTGTTAGGATTTGAAGCAGAGAAACTACAAAGTGTTGTTGAAGCGTGTAATGAATGGTTTAGAAAAAGAACTGAAGATGAAAGTGTAATGCTGATAATTGGGCGTCTTCCCCCTGAATTTAAAGTAAGTATAGTCTAAATTGTATATCTAGTGATGAGTGGATGATTATGAAGGCTAATAAAATTAAAATGTTTATAGCCAGTCATTATTTGCGTAATATTCAACAATTCAGATTCCGAAGAATTATATCTCCAGCGTTTCGAGCCATTTCTTCGTCTCCCAGCATTCATGAATCAAGTTTCTCTTATGCCATATCAAACTGTCAACACACTTTGTAATAACTTTACACCATACGGTGGTCGTAAAGCATTCAAATCCGTACTATTATCTCAATTTAGTTATCCCGTCATCTCAAATGCTTATAAAAGCTATGTTTCTTTCACTGATGCTTATCCGGATGCTCAAGAAACAATAATAGCCCTTGAATGCCACGATGGACGAAAAATGGCAACTGTCAAACGAGAAGATACAGCATTCGGATTTCGACATAATTTTTTCAACCTTAATATCGGGCAAAAATGGTACAAGCCTGAGAATGATCTGAGAGTTAACGAATGGGCTACTTCGATCGCTAAAGAATTTGAGAAGAGCAGAGATGTCGCTGGATCTTATGCGAATTTTAATAGTGTGTTTGATGAATTACAAGATGGAACTATTGATGACAGAGAAAAAAGAGCGAAAAAAGTTTTTGGTGAGAATTTGCAGCGGATGAAAGAATTAAAGAAAAAATATGATCCGAATGTTCTTTTTGATAAATGGGTTGTTGTATGGCCTAACAATGCCTAAGACTTATAATGTAACCAATTGAGAGTTTGAGTACGTTTTAAAAATAGTTGATATAAATTTATATTTATAATGTACCGTAGTCAATAAATAAAAGGTTATGCTTTTCTAAAACATAAATCACCTGAAAGTTGAATTAAATAACAAGATGCAAAACAAAAAAAATTACTTGAATTGTATTTCATTCAAGATAGTGTACACGTTCTCTTCTTCGAGGATATCCTCCCGGGCGACAACATTTTATCCTGCTGGTGCCACTGTAGTCGTCCTTATTGCCATAGCATTGGCAACATCTTTTGAAAAATCAAAGTTATTGCAATACGAAGAAATTCATCTGCCTGGAAATGACTACACGTATTCTGGAGAGTTTTGATTAATTTTTTTGTGATAGTAAAGTCTTATCGATAAATGCAATTAAATTAATGTAATCTTTTCTATCGAATTTTTGAAATACAGACATGTAGTTAATGTTAATGTACATACGATGTAAATTTGTATAGAACAGAATACATTTTTGTGAAATTGCAACTGTTAAATTATAAATAATTCAAAAAATTGACTTATATACATAATACATATGTTTTTCTTGTGCATGAGTCATAAGCTTTATTACTAAAATACTTGGCAATTAGCTATTTAAAATTCAAATCGCTTAAATAATTTTTTATTCGCGTTGATTAGTAAAGCTACCCGAATCGATCAAAATGTCCGTCAGTAATAAAACATGCTGCTCTGTTGCTGACTAATAAAAATTGCAATTTTTCGTTGTAAAATCATACGAGCTCATCGTATAATAATGTGAAATTTCCAGAGTCGTAATATATATCAGAATTAGAGATGGGCAAATGCACGCATAGTACAGCGTACTATGCGCACTATGCGCATAGCTGTACAGTATATACACGCATAATGATCTACATGTACATATATAGTAATCAAAATACGCGATGTGAATTCATAAAACTAATGATGATTTTATTTTCTATAACTATTATATACATTTATCAATAATTAT